GAGGAAAAAAGGGAGAGTTGAAGGAAGCAAGGAAAGAAAGGGGAAGTGTTTAAGGGAGGGAAGGAGGGAAGGAAGGAAGGGAAAAGGGAAAGAGGGAGGGATGATGTAAGGGATGAAAGAAGGAGGGAAGGAAAGAGGGAGGAAAGAAAGGGAGAGATGAAGGAAGCAAGGAAAGAAAGGGGAAGGGAGGGAGGGAAAAGGGAAAGGGGGAGGGAAGGAAGGAAGAGAAGGAAAGGGGGATAGGAAAAAAGGAAGAGAAAGAAGTCAGACATATAAAGAGGAATGAGATTGGGGAAGAGGAGATACAAAGGAAAGAAAAAGGAGGAGGAAGAGAAGTAGGATGGCATTGGAAGAGGAGGAGGAAGGTGTGAAAGGAAAAGATGGGGAAAAGAAAGGGGACTCGAAAGAGAAGGAAAAAGGGAGAGGAAAAAAGTGGGAGTAAAAAGCAAGAGAAATTGGAGAGAAGAAGATAAAAGAATGGAAAGAGAAGGAAAGAAGGAGAGGAAGAGAAAGGTAGAGAAGAAAAGAAGAGAATGGGAGAGATTAAGAAGAAATGAAGGGAGAAGAAAGAAGGGGAAGAAGAAGGAAGAGGGGACCATGAAGAAAAGGAAAGGATAGGAAGAAGTGGAAGAAGGAGGAGGAGAGATGGGAAGATGTGAGGCCATTGTGATGGGACAGGAGGAAATAAAGCCCACCTCAGGAACTGGCTGAAGGCCTTGTAGTTGGTCAGCATGTGGTAGTCCTCCTCGGAGAAAGCGTAGTCTACGTCGTCCAGGCCCCACTCCTCCATCAGCTGCGCAGACGTCTTGGGTTCCTAGGTGAGAGAAAGAGGCCTCTGCACTTTTGGATAGAGAAGGCTGAGCACCTGCACGCTATATTACATAGGAAAGCATTGCTTATACCTCCAGTGTGTGGAAAAATACAGTTCTAATGGACATGTGCTCACAGCAGAGTATATTGAAGCATTAAGAGAATGGAGATGTTATCCTAGAGGGACAGCTAAGTCATTTCCTGGCTTCTATGTGCTCTTCCTCTTTGCCATGTACTTGCACTCGGCCATCTTTAATCTATCGCCATACTTGTTGTATAAGTGTCTTGTTATGATTACAAGTATTCTGACCTGTAAGTAGTTATATGTCGCAACGACTGAAGAATAAACCCCCAAAGGAGTTTGGATGAACGCCAGAGCTCAAGCTGGTGAGCAAGGTCAGAGGCTGTGTGTAATGAATTTGCTGATCTCTGCAGGATTTTTGGTGTATAGTAGGGCTGGGCGGGTTCGTTCGTTAATTTCGTAATTCGTTATTGATTCGTATTTAAATTAGCTTACGATCCGATATTGAGCCATGCAGGAGCAACTAAAAATCGAAACGAATTTTTCAATTTATTTCGTAATTGTTTCGTAATTGGTTCGAAATCGTTTCGAAATCGTTTCGAAATTGTTTCGTTATTATTTCCGTATGTCTGGTGCAAGTTTTATAGTTGTTGTTTGTTTTATCAGTGATAAAAAAATAAATTATCACACCAACAGTCAACAACAGAGGGAGAGGGAAGCTTCAGAAGTTCCCCCTGTCCCATTTGGAGGTTTTTTTAGCGTATTGCGCAATCGCGTCCACCATTAACGAATCAATTCGAAATTTACGAAATTTCGTAAATAACGAAAAAATTTTAAAGAAAAATTCGGAATTCTTTTAAAAAATGAAACGCAATGGACCCCCTAAAAACGAAACTAGTTTAGAAACAAATTTTTCCGTTGTTACCCAGCCCTAGTGTATAGCTCTATGTTCCCATGTGACAGTTAGGGAAGATTGAGTACAGTTAGGAGAGCAACAGCGAAGACAAGATCATTTGCATATGGGAAGCCGATTGGTCCTATGCAGATTAGTGTAGGCCCAGGATTTTTAAAAAAAGGCTCTGAGGCCAGAATGACAGTTGAGAAGAGCTGAACGTTCTAAAGGGGCGGAGTTAAGTTTTAAAAGAGGCAGTTAGAGTTGGAGAGAAAAAGAAATAGTTCGTTAGGAATGGCTGCTTGTGAAGTGAGTTAGGAATGGCTGCTTGTGAAGTGAGTTAGGAATGGCTGCTTGTG